AGTCATCACTTGCCCACGCAGGTGGAATGAACATGATGGAATTATTGACATAAATGGCACAGCTGAAAATCTGTCACTGTTTAACTTATTTGAGGAAAGAACAAAGGCCCAAAGGGTTGTAGTTCTTTGGTCCCCAAGGTAGGCGGGGAAACAGCTCTCCTGTCACAGAGCTCAGAGTTTTTTCCTGTGCTCTTCAGCCAAGGACTGCAATTCTATCCCCAGAATCTCAGAAATTTTGAGCTGAAAGAGACCTTTGGTATTATCTACTTCTAATGTAACCCTCTCATTTTACAGATGAGGTCTTTAGGGCCCAGAGAGATTAAGACTCGTTCAAGGTCACCAGCTAGGAAGGGGCAGAGCAGGCACTGAGCCCCAGGTCTCAGAACTGTGGCCCCATGTCTCCCTGCGCCTGTGCCTCCATGTCAGTACTGTTGGCCATGAGAGAGGAGCCAGTCCAGCATCTGAGAGACCGAGAGCGACACTGACTGTTCCTTTCCTGTTGGGTGTCTGGCAGCACCTTGGGTTTCTTTGCTGATGTAGAGACTGCAAATGAAATTTCAGCTATGATTTACAGCGTCTAAATTTTACTCATAAAAAGACTGGGGTGGGAGCAGGTGAGGTGTGGGGCTGCCGACCTCAGGAGGGCCTGGTCAGGTAGGCACGCGTGGGTGGGGTCGGGGGAGAGACCTTCCTTTTCGCCTTCAGCATACCCAGCCCTCTCGCCATTCTGGGTGACAGATTCCCTCTCTTGGTGGCTGCCTGATGTCCATTTTCACTGGGTTTCACCCGCCTGGAAAGGGGACAGGGGCACACAAAATAATGCAATGAAAGCTAAGTTTGTTATATCCGGAACAAATTCAGAATATTAATATGCAGTGGCAGGTTGAACTTGGAAAGAAAGAGCAACATAAAATAAAATGCAGCAAGATAAGTTAAAGTTAATTTCACAGGTTTTTTGTTTGTTTGTTTGTTTTATCTTCACCCAAGGACATTCTTCCATTTTTTGTTCAGGTAGAGTGGGGGAGGGAGGGAGAGAGAGAGAGAGAGAGAAACATCAACCTGAAAGGGACACATCGAGTGGCTGCCACCCACACGACCAATCAGGGCCGGGGACAAACTGCAGCTGAGGTATGTGCCCTGAGTAGGAACCGAACCCGGGTCTCTCTGGACCGCAGGCCGACACTCTAACCACTGAGCCAAACCGGCCAGGGTTAATTTCACGAGTTTTGTTCTAAAATTTCCAGTTGATTATGGGCTATATATTCGTACACACACACATACTCATTCTCACACACACACTTGTAAATCCTAAGGCCCAGTTTTAGACTTAGCTGCTCCATAAGTCCTCCCATGGTTGATTATTTTCTGGAGTAATTATTCGTGTCCCCAAGTTTCTAAAGTATATATAGCTTTAACAGAAACTTCTTTTCTCCCCAATTAAATGAGAATTCTACTTAACTATAGTACTATGCTTAGCACTATATATATGCTTAGCATAGTACTAGGCACACAGTAGGTCAAGTCCTTAAACCTAGTGAAGTCCAAGGGTGGTGGCCCCAGTGACATGTGGTAGAACTGATTCAGAGTCAAGCCCTGAGTCAAGGCTGCATATATGGACCATAATAATTACAAACCTCTCATAGGATTGCCTTCACGGAATTGAATTCCACTCTAAACCCTTGTCATTTTTCAAGGGTTAAGTAAATTAATTCTCTATTGCATTTGCTATTTTTAAAAAATTGTAGGAGGACACTGCCTATCACATCACTCAAGGTCCCTTTATATCGAGTCCCACAGATCTTTTTTTATAATTCCATGCCTGAAAAGCGCTGCTTCCCCTGCGTAGCTGTCATGTTTCCCGGGGTAAGAACACAGTCCATGTTAGTTCTCTTCCCATTTTGGAGAACTGCGGGGTCTAATTGGGTTTCCCTCTTTTCTCTGGCAATCAGAAACCTCAGATACATTCTGGGCTTAGTCACATAGGTAATTGTGTATGTTGACAGATATTTTTCTTGTTCAGAGTTCCTTAATTTCTTCTTGGGTTTTGCTAGTTGCTGTTTAAATTATTGTTCTAATAACAAAAATATCTGTAGTCATTAGGAATTTTGGAAAAGAAAAAAATCCCTATAATAGAATAATTCAGCAGTTGTAGCATCCATAAGACTTGGGTGTGTAGAAATTGCAGACTAGCCCTGGCCGGGTCATTCAGTTGGTTGGAGCATCATCCCGAGGTACCAGGGCATTGGGTTTGGTCCTGGTCAGGGCACAATGAAGGCATGGATAAATGGAACAATGGATTAATGTCTCTCTCTCTCTCCCTCCGCCCTCTCAAAAATCAATTTAAAAAATATTAAAGGAAAGTGCAGACTAAAGTAGTCTAGAAATAACTGTGGCTTAAACATGCAGGGGTTTATTCTCTCAGGTAAAAGAAATCCTGAGGTAGGCGGTCTCGGTCTGATATGGTGGCTCCATGAAATCATCAGGGACCCAAGCTTCTGTCTTTCTACTTTACTGTCCTCTTAATGTGGCTTCAAGGGTGATCGCAAGGTCACTTCATGGACCAAGATGACTGCTGGGTTGCAGCCATGTTGTCTGCATCCCAGGGATGCAGGACGAGAAAAGGGCCAAATAGTGAACTCCCTGCCTTGTAAGGAGCGTCCCCAGAAAGCAGACTAGCCCCTCCAGAAGTGGCCAGAATTTTGTCCCATGGACTCAAGACCCACCTACCTGCTAGGGAGGCTGGGGTTTGTTTTCCAGCAAGGCACATGCTCCAGGTTTTTGTTACGAGGAAGGAGGCTCCTTTTGGGGAAGCAGTAGCAGACTGCCACACTTCTGCATCTTTCTCTTTGCATGTTGCGTATCTCTTCAGTGTTTATTGAAGAGGTAGAATACAGTTTGTGGAATGAGTTAAGTTATAAACAAACATCAATATAAATACCAATAATAAAATGTACTACATCTTGTTATCTGCCACTCTGTCGTTCCATAGTCCTTTCTATGAACTTATCACCTATACATATACTGATAGTGTATGTTGTGAATATTCAGTCAGTACAGACTTACCCAGGTCTAGAAGGGACCTTGGGCAGATTTCTCCGAGGGTTGCTTGTTCAGATGCCTGCAGGAACCACTCGGGTGCTGTAAATGGTTAAGGAGGCCAGGGGTGAGTGTTGAGGACCACCATAGGAGTGGTGGCACTGTGGCAGCCTGGAGAGAGCGTGCCCTGTCTGAAGGGGGCACTGCCACTCAGCAACATTCACCGTTGCCTTTTTTTTTTTTCCGAGAGAAACCAGAAATCCAGATTTTTATCTGAAATCTCCCGGCATTTATAACTTGGCAGCTAATAAATTTAAATTAAAAAAAAAAAAAAAATGCCAGCCAAATGCAACGCCATCTCATGGGCTACCAATTTAGGATCCATCCCTTGTTTTTCAGTTGGCAGTGAAGGCCAGTGGCTTCTGATAGGGCTGGAGACTTTGCTCTTCAGTCCCCACCACAACAAAACCTGGTCTTCTGCGGCTCATTTTTCTCAGAATACAAAGAAATAAAACAAATTTGCAGCTAAGCAAGACTACTCCTAAGGTTAATTGACTGTCCCATTCATCTGGCTTTCCTTTTCTGTTTAAATCATTCTGGGGTGGCGGAGAGAATATTGGGCCGGAGCCCCAGCTCAGCTAGTTCACAGCGGTGTGGCCTGGGCAAGCCCCTGGTGTCACATCTGTGTTCTCTGCACCATCCATTTTCTTTCGTGCTTGCTTCTCTCTCCGCCTCTGCTTGCTGCTTTCAAGTAGCACAGTGCAGTGGTTAAGACAGGGGTCTCTCTGCCCTGGCCAGTTTGGCTCAGCGGTTAGAGTGTCAGCCTGCGGTTCAGAGAGACCCGGGTTCGGTTCCCGCTAAGGGCACGTACCTTGGTTGCAGTTTGTCCCCGGCCCTGGTTGGGTTGTGCGAGTGGCAGCCACTCGATGTGTCCCTTTCACATCGATGTTTCTCTCTCTCTCTTCCTCTCTCTCCCTCCCACTCTATCTGATCAACAAAATGTCCTCGGGTGAGGATTAAAAAAAAAAAAAAAAAAAGACAGGGGTCTCTGGAGCCAGATATGAACCCTGGCTTCTCTGCCTACTAGCTGTGTGACCTTGGGCAACTTACTCAAGTTTTCTGTGCCTCAGTTTCCTAGCCTGTAAAATGGGGATAATAATAGTAGCTACCTCCTAGGATGTGGTAAAGACTCAGTGCATTAATATATGTAAAACATGAAGAACAGAGCTTGGCACACAGACAGTGATATATGAACACCATCCTCTTTTGCTTCCTCTGCTGCTTTGAAAGCCACAGATCTTCAGCACAGTGGGCCCGGCTCTAGCTTCCCGTTTCACAGGAGACTTTTAGCTCCCGGGGCTTCTGCCCAGCCAGCCTCCTGCCCCCAGTCTGGGTGCAGGCCCGGCAGGCCGTGCGGGTCCCCACCCACTTCTGTCAGTCCCGTTCTGTTTCCGGTACCACGTTCCTGAGTCTGTCTGTGCCCTTTTACTTTTCTCAGCTCATGTTTTTTCATCATTGCTATGTGTTTACAAGAGAAGGAATGAGTCAACTAATTGCTGTCTTTTATTTATCTTATCCTATTTTATTTATAACATCAACATTTATCCCCTCTATGGCCTCTTCTACCGCCACCCACCCACCCTGACTACTGTCCTGACCTAAAGCCTCATTAAATTATGTCATTAGTTACACAGGTGTTTCTGAAGATTATGTTACGAGATACAGGGTGAAAGGGTGAGTTTGCTTTAGGCAGAGTTCTGAGCGCAGCAGGTAGCTCGTCCTGGAAACCAGAGCCGCCCATCAGCCCGGGGACAAAGGCTTCTCCCAGCAGGTTTGCTCGGACAGCCAAGAGTGCGGACACATGTTAATTCCAGAAATTCTCTTTTTCTAGAGAATTGAAATGCAAACATAAATGTGCTTGTATTTCAATTAAATTGCTTCTTTCTTGTCACCAATCTTTTCAGCTTTCAGGTAAATCTGAATACGAGATCTGACCTGACCGGCCCCGCTGTACAGCGTCTCAAGGACAGTCACTGTTCCCGTTAGAGACGGACGAAGAACATAGGTATGTATCATCCAGACTTTTATTTTTACTTCTCCCACCTCCCTCATGGTAGTAGTGAGTGGAAGAACGCAGAGAAGGACCTATTTTATTTCTTATTTGATAGGTCTGCTCTGGACCAACAGGGAAACGGGGAAGCCACCTGCTGCTTCCCTCCGTTCTCTTCCCAACAAAGGGACACGAAAGGGCACCTGTTTCGGTTCCATAGCACCAGTGTCCGGTCAGAAAAATTTTGGAGTTTCTTCTAGATTTTGTCTCTCACTAGACTTAAAAATCCATATCAGTGAGCTGTATCATCTTGGATGTTAGTTTCTCATTAGCTTGTCTGGCGCAGGTGGCAGGGCTCTGATGAGGTGAGGGATGGAGCCACGGGGTGGACCCTGCAGCCTCTCCCGTGTGGTGCTGTGAACGCCGTTAGGCCGCAGCCCCTCGGGGAGCTGATGGCCTCTTCAGACCCCCTTCCATTACACGAGCTTTCACGGGGTTCCTGGGCCTAGAATCCTTAGGGGAACTGCAGACCCAAGTTAAGAATCCTTGTTTTAAGAATTTTTAAATAGCTAGTCTTTAGCGGGGGGACATGTCCTCAGAGGTTGAGTTTTAAGGAAACTGTCAGTTCTTAAAAGTTCAAAGGTGCTGCTGCAGCTGAACATATATTCGGAGGTCCAGCCTGGATGTGAAATTGCCGGATACTTTTTCTTAAATTGTTTTCTTGCCCTGATGCTGGAAGGCGAGTTAAGGAGCTGCAGTCTTTGGTTGCTGTCCTCACTGATAGCAACCTGAGCCCTGCCAGAGGCCAGCTGCAGTGTGGTTAGGTCCTGTAGTGGCCAAAGTCACCTTGACTTTAGAAAAGGGTTTCTGCGTCCCCTCTGGCCTTGCTGTGGATCTCGAGCGAGTTCTTTGGTTATGCCTCAAACATGTCTTTGGGAGATTGTTTTGTCCTGCCTGTTCTGTCTGCACTGTTGGCCACCAGAGTTCTCGTGCTGACTGTTTTTAGCAGAGGCTGTTTGAAGCCCTTCCAGGGGAAGCCGTTGCCATGGCTACCTTGGCTGTGAGAGTTCCCATTTTCTCCTTTTTTGTTAGCTTGTGGTTTCCCTGATTTTTAAGGTGACAGCTGATGATCTGTTTTTCTGCTGAGCAGCAAGGGAAAGACTGGATTTTTGTTGCTTTTGTTGTTGTTGAGGTTTGTTTTATGTGTTTGGAGGTGTGTGTGTGCGTGTGTGTCTTGTATATGTGGTAAGCTACCTCAAAAGATAACATATTAGGGGAGCTTGGGAAAAGCAGATACACGTACACAATTTCTTACTCTGACTTTTAAAAATTTTTTTTTTTCTTTATTGATTTTAGGGGGGGAGGGAAGATAGAGACATCGATTGGCCGCCTCCTGCATGCCCCTACTGGGGACCAGGCCCACAACCTGGGCATGTGCCCTGACTGGGAATCAAACCAGTGACCTCTTGGTGCAGGGGTCGACGCTCAACCACTGAGCCACACTGGCCAGGCCTTATTCCGACTTTTAATTTTGGCTTAGTGATTGGATTTGGTTCACTTTCAGCCTACTTTTGTAAAACTTGGGGAAAAAATTAGTTGAGTTTCATTGCATATTGCCCCAAGCAATAACAAGGATCCCTGTGACCTGGGCTAGGTCTGAACTTCACACCAGTGCCCTGAGGAGCAGATGGTGAGTCAGGTCCCGGTGGCTTTATCTCATTCTGCTCTAAAAATAGAGGGGTGGGGCCAACAGGCAGTACAGCCACACCTGGGGGCCACGGCAGTCCCATTGCACATCTGTGTCCCAGGCTGTAAACAGGGACCTTCACATATACCTGGCACAGCGCATGTGGGTTCAGTCTGCAGAGAGATCCAAGGCTGCCTGTGAACAGACACCAAAGTGTGATTTCTGGTCCCACTCATGCTCTCTGACCTGCACTTCTTTCCCTCACTCTGACGGATCCTGTTTTCAGCATTTTCCAGTTTGCTTATTTTAGAAGGGGTCATTAGATTCATTCATTCATTCATTCACGTGCCCCTAGCGGGAACCGAACCTGGGACTCTCTGGTCCTCAGGCTGACGCTCAACGGTTAGAGCGTCGGCCTGCGGTCCAGAGATTTAAATAAAACAGTACCCGCCCTGGCCAGTTTTGCTCAGTGGTTAGAACGTCGACCTACGGTCCAGAGAGACCCAGATTCAGTTCCCACTAAGGGCATGTACCTCTGTTGCAGTTTGTCCCCGGCCCTGGTTGGTCGTGCAGGTGGCAACCACTCGATGTGTCCCTTTCATGTTGATGTTTCTCTCTCTCTCTCTTCCTCTCTCTTCCTCCCACTCTATCTGAACAAAAAATGGAAAGGTGTCCTTGGGTGAGGATAAAAAATAAATAAATAAATAAAACAACACCCTACCCAGCTTATCAGTGTTCAGAACTGTTTGTGGTTTGGGTTGTTGCCAGTCCTTTGGTGGCTGTAAGGCGCTGGTGGCAGTCCACCTGGGCGGGCCCCGTGGACACATCTGGATAGGACATGTCATCCCTGGCTTTCTCCCCTGATGTGTGGGCTCCTCCCTCCTCACCGAGCCCTAAAGCTGGTGCTGTGCCTCTGCTCCCCAGATCAAGATGAATGCCATGCTGGAGACCTCCGAGCTGCCGGCCGTGTTTGACGGGGTGAAGCTGGCGGCAGTGGCCGCCGTGCTGTATGTGATCGTCCGCTGTTTGAATCTGAAGAGCCCCACCGCCCCGCCTGACCTCTACTTCCAGGACTCGGGGCTCTCGAGGTTTCTGCTCAAGTCCTGTCCTCTTCTGACCAAAGAGTGAGTCGGCCTCTCGCCCATTGTATTCCCACCTAAGGAGCTATTTGGCTTGTGCAGTGTTCATGTGTCCTCGAGGTGGCCATGTGAAATAGCGTCGTGGCTGTCGGAATAGCCACAGTCTCCATGGAAGTCTGTGTTTCAGTCCTGGAGGGTGGGAGACAGAATCCGATCTTGGTTGCCTGGAGTCATCATTCATGACAAGGACTTTGATAAGCAAAAAACACAGATTTACGAGTTGGGTACTCTCCATCTCTCTTATTGAAAAGTGGACTGTTGGTAGCTAAGAGAATCCACCACCTAAACGGGATACTTCATTCCAAATGAACCAGGTGTCCCTGCATAAGGTCCAGGTCTGTATTTTGGGTGAGTTTCTGAGAGAGGAAACTGTGCTCGTAATGGGTACATTTTAGGTCACACAAACTATCTTCAAGAGACACGTGGTTAACTGTTTTCCTGTTGATGTCTTCTGAATAGCTGTGTCTTCCTTAGGGCTTGGGCCGAGCCTCATGCTTGGAGCACTCCATGTCCCCGGATCTGTATCCCTCCTCTCCTCACTGGTCTCGCTCTGTGCCTCTTTGAGCTTAGTCCATTCTGCCGGGGCCACCTGATCACCAGATTGAAGCTGCTTGGGGAGCTGTCTACTCACACTGTGTCCCCTCAGCGTGTGACCCACACTCAGTGGAGTTTCTGATACTCAGAGGCTATTAGCAGAAGCTTTTCCCTCTGTCCTGATATCTCTCCCCACCTCTGTTGGGGACAAATGTACAACAGAGAGCTTGGGTCCTTGCTTGTGTCGTTTGATGGTCTCGTTCATGTTGTTCGCCAAGGGTGAAGAGCCACTGTGAGCTTTGGGTGTTTTGTACATTCGTGTGCAGTATTCTCGTAGTTGTGACAGTGATGCCATGACCCAAAAGCTACTATTAAGTCAAAAGAGACGTATAAATGGATCGCGTTACCTGATACTTGTGCAGTGCCATGTGCAATATAATGTCATCATACTGAATTTAGAGCTGCCCTTGCTGAGGGGTCTCCATCCCAGTGGCTCTACACTGGGTGTTAGACAAGAACATGTTGTTATTACAAAGCAGTGTGTGTAGGGAAAACTCCCCTTCCAAAGACGGTGCACAGAATCTGTGTGCCTTTTTTTTTTTATCCTGACCCGAGGACATTTTCGCATGTATCTTCAGATAGAGCAGGAGGGAGAGAGGGAGGAAGAGAGAGAAACATCAATGTGAGAGAGACACATTGTGTGGTTGCCACCCATACAACCCCATCCAGGTCCGGAGACAAACTGCAACTGAGGTATGTGCCCTTAGTGGGAACCAAACCTGGGACTCTCCGGTCCGTGGGCTGACACTCTAACCGAGGGGCCAAACCGGCCAGGGCAATCTGCGTGCTTTTCAAATTGTCCAGCATCTTTTTTCAATACTTGATGTAGATAATTCACTAATCTGGATTGGCAAGTAACATCGGCAGCTTCTTTCAGACTGTGGGACCCAGTAGCTAGACCCAGTTCCTTGGCCATCTCATTTTTAGAGCTTTTGGAAAGCAAGGTGTTAAAAACCCTGTACATGTACCTAGGGATGAGTGTGTATTTCCACCCAGCATCGGTTCCTGAGCAATTAGAGGAAGCTGTGGAAGAGCTGCTATTGTTCAGGTTCCAGAAAAACATCACGTAAGGTTTGCCTTTTTACTAATAGTTCAAAGTGAAAAAAAAAAAACCCGATTATGGCTTTTTTTTTAAAGAAAAAATCTCTTTTCTTGTTTTCCTATACAAAAACAAACAACCCAGGGACATTAAGTTTCATGGTTTCCCTTTGCCTCTTGTCCCTCCCTGGCACACTTTCTCCATGAGCTTAAGGTGCTGGCCTGGCTCCATGGGTCCTCTATGGTGAGGGCCCCCACCCCTCCTGGTATCAGTCTCTTTGGACCTCGTGACTCTGTCCACCACCTCCAGCCTCTACCACCCCCGTCATTAGCGAGTTGCATGCTCCCTCCTGTGAAACCCAAATCACAGAGGTGTGGAGGTCAGCCTCAACTACTTAGCTGTGGTGTGAAGGTGGGTATGAAGGGACAGATTCCCCAGAAACTATTTCCTTTCAAGATTTGGCCTTTTTTTTTTTTTTTTAATCCTCACCTGAGGACATTTTTGCATTTATCTTAAGATAGAGCCGGAGGGAGAGAGGGAGGAAGAGAGAAAGAAACATCAACGTGAAAGAGACACATCGAGTGGTTGCCACCCACACAACCCCAGCTGGGGCTGGGGACAAACTGCAACCGAGGTACGTGCCCTCTGGTCCGCGGGCCGAAGCTCTAACCGCTGAGCCAAACCGGCCAGGGCCAAGATCTGGCCTTTCAATGAGAGCACCGGCCCCCTTAAGGCATGTTGGAACATTACTTCAGAAGCTAAATTCCAAACACCCAGGCTTTCTCTGACTTGGAGATGACAGATTATTAAAGGGCAAAGGGTGCACTTTCCCTCCATCTTTTCACCAGCCTCTCACTCTGCATGTAGATGCCAGCTTTAGGAATGCCTGTGCCCTGCACTCATGGGACATATGCCGGGATGTTTTCATGTTTCTCTGTGGTCCGCATCACTGCATTTTACATTTGTGAAACACCCTCCTAGGCATCATGCCTTGTAATCCTCTTCACAGCTTTGAGGTGGGATTCTGTTTTCCCTTCATTTTGAAGGATGGGGAAACCGAGAGCAGCAGAGAGGGAAAGTGAACCCAAGTTTGTGGCTCCAGACTTGGTCCCCTTGTTATCCTTGGGGAGGTGGACAGAGACTGTTCTCGGGGTGCAGGTGAGGGAAGTGAGGTGGGGGCAGAAAGGGGCCATCCTCAGTGAGTTTTTCTGACCCCAGAGTGGCCCTCCAATTCCCAGTGACCCTCTTTGTGTCTTACTCACCCTGTCGGAAGCCACCGCCCTGTGTTCTTTCTCCGTCTTGCATTTCTGTCCGAGCCTCCCATCTGTTTGAAGCTGAGGGCAGGAAATATGTCTGTTATGGGTAAAAGTGTTTCTCCGGGACTTGGAAGATTTTTTCTAGAGGAAGCCTGTCTGCAGCCTTCACCAACAATCGTCTGGGCTAGAAAGTTCAGTTAATTGATTTACAGCAGGCCAGTGATGTGACTCAGTAACCCTGACCACCGAGAGCAGCCCGCTCTTATGACACGTGCAGAATTAGAGCATTTCCTCTCGCTGTTCTGAAATAGAAGAAAGTTGATGAAAGTTGAACATTGAAAACAGGAGAATAGGGAATGTTTTTTCCTTTCAGCATTCAAGCCAGTTTTAAAATCTGTGCTAAGGTCATCTGTCCAGCCATGCATCAGAAGTGAATCTTTTCAATGTCGAGGAAAACGGCTTAGATGGGCTGATGTGTTTCTTGTTCACTTAGCAACAGATCAATATTTACCTCGGGATTCATTTTTTTGTTCTCATGAAGTATTTGCTTTTAGCAAAACTCGCTAAAAGCTCAGTTCAGAATTATGAGAAAATCTAGATGACGACACAAATCTCTTTTTTTTCCTTAATAAAATATTGAATGCATACTTATTTTTTTAAATGTTTTTCTCTTGCATCTTTTTTTTAATTCTCACCCAAGGACATTCTCGATATTTTGTTCAGATAGAGTGGGAGGGGGGGAGAGAGAGAGAGAAACATCAACGTGAAAGGGACACATCGAGTGGCTGCCACCCGCACGACCCAACCAGGGCCGGGGACAAACTGCAACCGAGGTACGTGCCCTTAGCGGGAACCGAACCCGGGTCTCTCTGGTCCGCAGGCCGATGCTCTAACCGCTGAGCCAAACCGGCCAGGGCAAGAGCCACACTCTTGATGAGACAGACCAGGATCCCTAGGGGTTCCAAATTCTAAGCGTAATGCCGTTTTGTCTTATCACCATAGAGAGAGAGAGAGAGGTGAGGGATGTCCCCATTTTGACAAATGCCATGTGTGCTCCGGTAAAAGAAACCACACTGTCCCCAGCCTATGCAGTCAGTGCTCTGGGGCACCAGGGAGTCAGGTGCAACTTTAGCTCAGAGTTTTGTTTATTGGGAAGCCACTACCCAGTCTCTGAAAAAAGATGGATTGGTTTGTTTTTTGTTTGTTTATTTGTTTTGGCCTTTAAGTCAGGACAACCCCAGGTATATGCACGAAAGCAGTTTGCAGCCTCTGCCCTTCCCTTGGCTGCAGCCGAAGTCTCCATTCTCCAGGTCCTGGTTAGAAAGCAAAGAGGCAGAGCTACCCGGCCTCGGGAAGCCTGTATTAGAACCTACATATTCCCTGTGGGAAGCCAGGCCTCGGCTACTTCACTCATTAGCAGGCCTGCCAGTGTGGGGCATGGTGTAGCTAAAGATACAGGCATTTAGGAGGCGCGTGATGGAGGGTTAAGCTAATCCAAAGCCTAGAAACAGGAAGCTGGGGTGTTTTTATTGGGACACCTATGAGCACCTGCAGGGTCCGAAGAAGGGAAACAGTGTGATGAAAGCCACTGCCACACGTTTGTGGGGCCTTTCTTCCCCAGAGACAAAAATGTCATAGCTTTCTTCGACACTCAGCTGCCACCTGTATTAATAAAAACTGGGTGTTGTTGTTCTCCATGGATTAGAAATACCTGAAACTTGGGGATGAGGATCCCACTCATTCCAACACCAAGCCAAAAATAGTTCCATGGTGCCCTCACTGCGCATTTCCTCACGGGCCAGTGGCAGACCTGGTAACCTTTCCAAAGGTCGTGATGGCTTCATCTTCTGTGGTTTCCCCTGTTTCTCTCTTCACCCACCAGAGTACGGACTCCAAACAAGAATCTGATGAAAATGTTGTGCTCACCCTAGTTAGTCTGTGTGATTAGAGTTGGGAGGAAGCCCCAAAAGTCTAAAATCAGGATCGGTTCTGAAGCACTGACACGCAGCCTTACACAGGCAATGTAGCTGCTCCCAGTGGGGCCAATGGGGAGAATCCACACCCCTCCCAGGACAAGGATCCGTTTTTCTGTGGGT